TTCCTTCCTTCCTTCCTTCCTTCCTTCCTTCCTTCCTTCCTTCCCTCCCTCCCTCCCTTCTCTCTGTCTCTGTCTCTCTCTGTCTCTGTCTCTCTCTCTCTCTTTCTTTCTTTCTTTCAGCTTCTGCTTCTGATTGAGGACATGTCGTATTTCTCTTTCTGTACCTGGCTTATTTCACTTGACATCATTTTCTCTAAGTTTATCCATGTTTCTGTGAATGGCGGGATTTCATTCCTTTTTATGGCAGAGCAGTATTCCATTGTGTACATATACCATATTTCCCTTATCCAGTCATCTGTCAATAGACATTTAGGTCACTTCCAACTCTTAGCTGTTGTAAATAGAGCTGCAATAAACATGGGATTGCAGATATCCCTCCTACATGATGATTTCCATTCCTTTGGGTATATACCCAGCAGTGGGATTGCTGGATCATGTGGTAGTTCTATCTGTAGTTGTTTGAGGAATGTCCATACTGTTTTCCATAATGGCTGCATGAATTTACAGTCCCATCAACAGTGTAGGAGGGTTCCCCTTTCTCCGTATCCTTGTTAGCATTTGTTATTCCCTGTCTTTTTGATAATAGCCAGTCTAACTTGGGTGAGACAATATTTCAATGTGGTTTTGATTTGCATTTCCTTGATGCTTAGTGATACTGAGCATTTTCTCATGCGTTTGTTGGCCATTTCTATAGCTTCCTTTGAGAAATGTCTATTCAGCTCCTTTGCCCAGTTTTAAAAAGGCATCAACTTATTCAAAGTAATTATTCTCTGGATGCTTATATATTTTCTCATTTTATTATTTAATATTAAACTCCTATATCACTTAAAAAAACAGAAAATAATAAAAGTTTTTATGGGGGGGGAGAAGATAATTTTCCTCACAAAATTCCTGATGATTTTTAGCTATTTTAAACATGAGACAATGAAGTCAATCATGTGATAGGATGGACTAGTGAATGGGCATGTAGAAGCAGCTTCTCTGCAGATCTTTGCAAGGGGTACAAGCCTTCATTCTCTTGAGGGAGTTTGAATGTGATACTTTCTAGAGCTTCTAAATTTTTTTCTGCTTGCTGCTAAGACTCTTTAAGGATGCCCAAACAGAGAGAGAAATTATAAACGTTTGTCCTATTTCTGTAAGTTAGTATTAAATCTAGCATTGAGTTTATAAATTATTTCTGCCATATACAGTTCTTGGAGTGGCTTTGGAATAACTCAGTTCTTCCCAATTTCTTGCTGTAGTTCTCAAGAATAACTGTAGAACGTGCTGGGAGTGCAATATCCTGAGACATTTCAGGGAGGAAATGCCTGAAATAGCCCAGACCTAATTCCTGTCCTTCCCAGGGAATGTAACATCTTGAGATAGGCAGGAACTGCCTGGGACAGTTGGGCTTGGTTCCTCTCTCCCATGGGAACAGGTTGTCCTTCAAAGCCTTTCCCAGTGAGTCCCAAGGCCCCCGAGATCCAAAACTCAGGGTGTGCTGCCTCTCAGAGTCATGCAGCTGTGCTGCAAGGGGAGCACACACAGTTGCAGTTAAACTCTATTCGCACACAGGCAGCTTTTTTGAGCCTTGGGGATCCAGCCCCCAGTGGATCCTAGGCTTCTGCTGTCCCTTGCTGCCTATCTGTAAGTAATAAATTTGCTTCATGTAACTTGTTGCGTATGAGCACGTTCTGTCTTACGGGACTCAGACAAGTTGGCAACCGGTGCACAGTGAACTTGCTTTGTACCGTATCCCTATAATTCATATTTGAGACTTAAATTCAGATATTAAAACCTTGTTCAGTTGCATGGATTTGGTAAAACTGACTTCATCATATCCATGGTTTCAACTCTGATCAGTGGACTTTCAGATTATGTCTTCAGCTCACACTTTTTCTGCTGTATAACATGCACTCGGTTTACTACAGGCACCTCAAACTCAACATTTCCAAAATGGAACTCACTATCTTTTCTTGTACAAACTTTTTACTCCCTAAATTCTCTGAGTTTGTGAATGTTCCCCACAATCTATCAAACTTCCCAAAACAGAAAAGTTAAGTGACAAAAAAAAAAAAGTCGCTTAAATTACACTTACAGTTTCCTGGAATGATGTGCCAATTAGAAGTCTGGACTCTGGCAAAGTGTTTGCTATGATAAGTCATTAGAATGAAAGCAAGAAATGTCAAAGGTTGTGGAGTGAGATGGCTAAGGAACCAGCTCTGGAGAAATTAAAGAAAGAAGACAAGCTCAGGGATTTACATGATCAGCTCACAAAAATTCAGAAAACCAGGGATCTTCCATGACCATCTTAAGATAATTTTTTATCTCTTGTGGCCTTAGGTCAGGACTGGTGTAGCCCCCAAATATATGGAATCTGATCCAGTGAGTTGCTAAGTTACAATATAAGTTCAATTAACATTTTGCCATATCTTTTAAATGAACATAAAACACTGATTTGAAAAGAAAAGAATCCTGTGACTTGTACTGGAATATTTGTATGTGTTCATTTGAATCTGAGTACCCTAAATCCCCATCCCACCTAGCGTCTCTTGCCAGCAGAGGCAGCTCTCTTTTCCTATCTGAAGAGGTTAGTTGTAGTTTGCTTGAAGACATGCTGGCTGCTCCTTTTCTTGAGGTAAGTACTCATAGGTTGCCAGCTCTCCTCAGGCTCTTTCATTACTATGCTTCTTTGCTTCCCAACCTACTATAACTAGAGTCAGATCCCATAACACCCCAGAACACAAGTAAAAGTTGAACTTAGAAAGAGAAGATTGACATACCAAAAGGTTTTGTTATTTTATATAAGCAGAAACCCCAGGAATTTGTGAGACAATGGTTTCTAAGAGTGCTAGACCTGGAGGCAGGAATATAACTCTAGATTGGGCAAAGCTAAGTAATATGGGTAACCTACCAGAGTTTCTGGGTTCAGTGTGCTAGCTCAAGCAGTAGTTTGCTAGATCGTTGACTGAATTTTGAACTCATTGTTGGCCCGGGCTAAATAAAGTTGAGAGGCAAATGCATATTAATGTTGGGTCACCAAAGGAATAGATCATGAGGGATATGGCCAATGTATTGTACAACTGCTGTGGACCCATAGTAGAGGATACTATAGATGGACTCAATCTTCATTCGACTCCCACTTCATTGGCATGTTCTTGCACAGCAGAGACTGAAAAACCTGAAGTGACATTTCATATATGTATGAAAAGCTTAAAACAACATTTCATACATACATACACACATACATATATGTGCGTGTGTGTGTGTGTGTGTGTGTGTATGGCCAGGTCATGGGATGTATTCACATGTATTTTGGTTGGTAGAAAAGAAGTAGGTATAAGGTTGTTTTCCTTCTGCTGTGTCTAAAACAGAGACATAGTGTTCAGTAGCAATTGTGGCAGTGGCAGCGCATTTCAGGTATTACCAGCTTTGTGGGTGGCAAGAAGCAGTTATCTCGGGGACATGGGCAGCAGGATTGTCAGTGGTGGTGGCAGCGATGGTGGTATGCTCTGGGATTCAATAGCACTGATGGGGCCTTGCTCACCCTGACTCTTCCAGCCCTTTAGAGAATTTTGTAAATATCTAATTTCTGTTTAACATACCTAGAGAGGTTTCTGTCTTTTCCATTAAATCCTGATAGATACAGGGACTGATCGAATTATGGGATTAAAATATGGCTTAAATATGACTGGATATTTAGTTAATTTGGGGAGCTCAAGTGGAATCACATGAGGGAGGACAAAGCAACCTATTTTTTTCTGAACCCATGAGTTTCAGTGTAGTTTAGTTTTTTGCTCCCACTACAGCAATGTTGGTGGTGACATTTTTTAGCACCTGCCATATGGGTTCTGGGGATAGGATCAGGAGCTGTATCAAACATTCTGCTCTACTGGACTCCAGAATTATCTATTTGTTTCCTTGGCTGTAAAGTTTTGAAGTTTATGGCATTGGATTGTCCCCCTTCCCTGGTTTGGCAAAGTTTGTTGACTTTTTGGCAAGTTTTTACTTGGTTCATGTCTTTAGATATAAGAAAGGAGAGTTCTGTGAGAGATTTCAATTCCTCCATTTCAACGGAAAAGTTCAATACTAACATTGACCACTGAGAGAAAGAATATTTAGCAAGTGTGTACTATATTGTACCAGGAACTTTATTTTATCCTCATAATAACACTATTTAATTATTAATATCATCTATATTTACAGATGGAAAAGTTGATTCTGAGGAGTTTAGGTAATTTAAGAAACAAAATTATTAAAAATAACTAAAAAATTAAAATAATAAAATTATTTTTGTATTTTCTTTTCCAGGCCAAATAAATTATTTAATCAGTTCATATTCTACCTATAGAATTCCAACTTTTGTGTGACATCAGCTTTAAATATATAGCTATTATTACTTGTTATCTACTTTTCTGTTGTCTGTTTCAGTTCTGTTTTTGAGGTTCTTACATCAGAATTGTGTGAATTATACAAAAACTCATCTAAATAACAACCAGAAGTATTTATTAACTGGAATTGAAATTCATCATTTGTTTTTATTCATGGAATCAATGAAAGTATTGCAAAAAAATTTACCAATAAATTAATTTTTACATTAATGTTATGAAACTGTTGTGTATTTATAAATGTAACAAATAAAACATGTTCAATAGAGTCATTTGGCTCTGGCTATGCTGAGGCACTCATTATTCTCATAAACAAATCTTTTGTGTGTCTGCAGAAGACAAGTGAGAAGTGGGCTTGAAAAGGTGTGAAATGTCTAACTTTTCTGGGTGCCAGTGCCTTGTTTCACTTTGAGGGAGGAGGAGGTACCTCTCATG